AAATCGGTAGCCACTAACAGACCGAAGTGGAAAAAATTGCTTGACCAAGCCAAGGCCCACAAAGGGCTGTAGAGCTAAGGAAGAAGAAGAACAATACACTATATATTAGATGAATTTAGAGCGAGACACCAATAAATAAAAAATCGCACAACGCTTTGATTCCTATGAGCTTATATGGAGGTGCGCACACTACTCGATTTTTAGTTGTGCAACTAAACAGCTGAGGCTGCGAAACAATCGACAATCGCACAACAGTTGTGCGACAGTTTAGTCAAAGGTATTCGCTCAGTTGCAAAATCACATATAATTCTAAGAGAAATTCTTGCGCTTAAGAACTTATAAGGCCAAGTGTCAATCGTAATGAACAGCCAAAGGCGAGAAAGTTTTCACCAGGCAAAGGTCAGGAAGCTTTCGCCTTATATATAATTGCGGTTTTCATTACGTATTAGTGTTTTAGTAAAGTTAATAATCATAATAACATAATCACATTATTAAATAGTAACTGAGAAAATTAGTGAAACAAAAATACTTTACTGTTAATAAATATTTATAAAGCCTTGCTATAGAGAATTATTTTTTTTAAATTATGCACTTTGTCTGGCACGAAAGTTTGCGAGAAAGCATCGACATCTACAAAATCAATGACATTACTTCTTGCGGAAGTAAAGTTACGAATACTTCCACGTAAATTTTCGTGATAGATCCCTGAACATAGTGTTGGTGTGTCGATTTCTGCATTCACAGTACAATATACGTTTGAGAATGTATGAAAGTGAATTCTCCGTTTAATGCCTTTCGTAGCTTCATACTAAGTGTAACCCAGATACAAGGCCAGGTCTAGGTATGCGATCCAACAGCTTATTTACATATGTAAACCTTAAATCAACTTAGCTTTGCTTATGTTCACTCCTTTATATACTGTTATATCCTATATATCCTTTATATACTAATATATACTGTTGTACTTTATTTGAAGTTTGTACACCTTTATTTTTAAAAAAGATATTTTTACAAACATACATGAGGATATTATTGTAGTGGAAAATATTAATTTATTTAATATTTTTTACACATATATCATGAGCTCACATTTTTAATAGAAAACGTTAATTAACAAAACAAAACAAAAAGTAAAAAAAAGCCATTCCCCATAATATACTTCAACTACAAACAAGTTGAGGAATTTAAAAATCCTTAGTAAAAACATGTCATCTAAAAAGTAAAAAAAAACACATTGTCACAGAGAATTAGGAACAAAATTTTATCTCTTGATTTATCCTTTTTAATTTAATTTTTTTAAATCCATATATATTTTGTGTTACTTATACACATTCCTAACAGAACACGGTAACCCACAATAAACAAGATTAGCCGCGCCTACCTCAATTACCAAGTCAACGGTTAAGTCGACTCATGCATACTGATAAGTTGAAAACTTTAATACAACCCATCCTTTCATATCACTATTAATGTTCAAGTTCAAAACAACATTCTAATGTAAAAGTTTCAATTATTTTCATCATCACTAGCCCACTACACGTCTTTTTTTCTCGCTGGGAAAATGCCTTTACGCATCCCCCCCGTTGCCATGGGTATATGGGACACGCCGGCCAAAAACAGAAGACGTGACCGGAATACCCACTAAAAATCCAGTGGTGTTCCTCCTGTCCGCCGATGGATGGGACATGGGAACACTCGCGCGACCCAGCCAATAGGAGGGGCTCGGAGCCTACCCTAAGTTAGGGTGATTAGGTCATAGTCAACTCTACCCCACTGCGGGTTGACTATACATGTTTTCCTTCATCGTAAGAACGTCGGGTAATAAATAATAAATGATAATAAGTAATAAATAATTGTATAGTAGTTTTTAAATACCTTGGCAATAACTTTGTTGTTGTCATAACCCATACAGGGAAAGCAGAGGGTAGTACACCGATAATCTTAGACTTCCAAGATATTCGAAAAGAACTATATCTTATATTGTTGGATAAATTGCTATAACTAAATTAGCTGTTGCTCGCGCCTTCGTCCGCATGAAATTGAAAAAATAATAAAAAATGTAGCCTATGTAGCACCGCTAACAAAGCTTTTAATAATGAAACAAATTTCAAATCCGCCAATAGTTTTTGAGTTATTTAAATACATACGAAAATAGAAATCTTTCCTCATTATTATATCAGTATAGATGTAGACAAGCTACTGCCGGTATAATTAAAAGTAAAACACAAAAACATAATACGAAATACAGCGCCATCTATACGAGACATGTTAAACTATGATCATGGTCGTTTTTGTTTACGTAGTGCACGTGGTAAGTTTATGAATGAACGTTGTAAGTTCAAGGTGTCGCTGAGAAAGGACACGAGCGCTGGCATCGCGGCAATGAAATAATGACTTTATAACTGGCACTATTAAAGGTCAAAAAATGTACATTTATTGATGTCATAATTTATTCAGAGTATGGTTATTTGGATTATAATCGCTTTTATTAGATTTTTGTTTCTTTAATAAACTTCGCAACAATCTAAAAACGTTACCTAGGTATAACATATACTAGGAAAACTTAACTTAGAAAAAATGCCAAAAAGGACGCTTCATATAACCTATACGTTACAAAAATCATTAAATAAAACCTTATTTATCATAATATGTTGACATTGTTATAAAACAGTGGACCGTGACTCATTTTCAAGTTTTACATAATTTTTATTCACACAAATGTGTTAAACAGAAGTGTTTATGAATAGAATCATCACACTGGTTGTGAGTTGCTAGCGTCGTTTTATTGCACGCTTTGACCACGAGATGGCGTGATTACGTATTTTTTATCGTATCTCACGATGTGATAACATACATTCACGAAATAAGATTTTTATACAAATAGTAGCTTTCGCCCGCGACTCCGTCCGCGTAGAATTAAAATAAAAACAAATGCATGCCTATGTGTCCTTCCAGACTATGCTCTACATCTATGCAAAATTTCATCGAGATTCGTTCAAACGTTTAGGCTAAAAACTCTAACGAACCTCCATCCAATCATCTAAACTTTCGCATTTATAATATTTACTAATTACTTTTATAAAATAATCAAGTGAAAATGATGATTTCTCTTCAGATATATAAATAGTAGCAACATCCAGCTTTTCTGCCCTCCTTTAAGAACATAACGTTTTCTATTCTCCACGATCACAACCTGAACGAAAGTCATGTTCTGTATAACAACATTGAAACTCTATAGTCGCTCGTTCGTAGCCAACGCCAACACAAGTCTACAAGAAAAGATCTACTAAGAAAACAAGTGTGCAAATTGTTTTGTTGTCGCATCTTATGCGGAGTAGCAAGCCGCCTTAAAGTTTGGATGTTACCGTACTTGTTTTTTAATCGAAGTCTTATTTCTATGTGTCATTACGTTTCAAATAATACATAGAATCAAAGGTATAACGTTTTACATAAGGTAATCCATAAATTAAATAAATGAATCAACAACACACTTGCACAGTTGGTAACCGTAAGTTCCTATTATAAAAACATTTATATCACAATATTTATGTCTATGTTTTAAGAGAGTAATTTTCCGACAGAGAAACTCTAAAGTATACCAATTCACTTGACAATAAGTAATCGATAACCGCAAGTTGACATTTAAACCACAAAACATGTAAATACATGAACACTAATATTATAAAGAGGAAAGCTTGTATTTTGCTATGCATTGAAATAACTCAAAAACTACTGGGCCAATTTCAACATTCAAAATTCTTTTAACATTTTACGTTACTATTTTTTTTAATGACGTGTAAACGAAGTCACAAGCAACGGCTAGCGTAAAATAATTCAATAGTGATGAAGAATCTGGTAATTTCACTTACTTACCTTTCTCTAGCGGCTATAGGGCAAACTGACGACCTGGAAATAAGGAAAGCTCTGTCCAAGTATAAGTATACTAGCTGTTGTTCACATCTTCGTCCGCGCGAATATAAAAATTATAATAAATATAGCCTTTGTTACTCAGTGATAACGTAGCTATTTATTGGTGAAAGAATATTTAAAATTGACCCAGTAGTTTTTGAGTTCTTTCAATACATACTAAAATACAAATCTTTTTCTCTTTATAATGATAGTACAGTTGCACGATTAGTAAATACAATTAGATACTGTAAATGAACCTAGTCCTACATAAAAGTTATATCGAAAAAAATTGCGAAAACCAATCATTGAATGTTTTGACTATATTGAAAACTATTAAAGTCTTTATCTAAATAAAACACACTAAGTAGACACTACAATCCCTTCTTAAGCATACCCTATTTCACACAATCCATCCTTTCTTTCTTCGGTCTTCCTCTTCCTTTGTAGCCATACACATTCAATCTTAACACTTTCTGGTTTATGTCCCCATGGTCTTGTCACATAACAAGCCCATACCACGCTAACCTTTTGCTTCTCAATTTCTCCACAACTGGGACTACTTTCAAACTTATATGAATTCTGAAAACTATATCCCCTTTATATAAAAAACGTAGCTAACTAACGAGAATGTAGTACAACTGCACCGGATGTCAGCGCCATCAGATAAACGAGCAAAGTTTCTAGATAATGCATTAAGATTTCCCATCCGACTTACGTTTCCCAGCCGTATCGTAGTTAACTCAGCGTAAAATGACTCACCAAGTTACAAATAAGTAACACTCTAATTGCTAACAACGGAAATGTTAGCGTGAAAATTAAGTATAGCTTTAACATTAACATTTTTAAATTCGAAATGTTTCTATTTTCTACGCCAAAGGTTAAAGATTTTTTTAAAAATTCACAGTTGTTCCCGTGCGGCTTCAACCGCATGATGTTATACAAACTTTACTTTATTATAAGCTGTTGCTCGCGATTTCGCTTGCCTAAAAAAAAAACAATAAAAAAGCCTATGCTACTCAATGATAACGTAGCTTTATAATGGTAAAAGAATTTTTAAATCGCTCAGTAGTTTTTGAATAATTTCAATAAAATAGATTTACATTTGTTAAATGTTCAATTGCATCATCCACTTATCTTCCATACATCTCTATCAGCCGTCATATCTGAATCCACTCCTTTCTTAAGCATATCCTCTTTCACAACATCCATACTTTCTTCGGTCTTCTTCTTCCTTTGTAGCCATACACATTCAATTTTAACACTTTCTGGTTTATGTCCCCATCATTTCGTCGCAAAACATGTTAAATGGTCAATTGCAAATGTCGAAATTCAAATTAACATAATACAATGAAGGTCTTGGAAGTTGGATAACAATTAACGTTACCATGGCAATTTTGATAGTAAGATATTAGGTTTTTTTTTATCTCAACAAGTGCATTAATTAAAAGATGTTTATATGTAAATGTTTTGAAATAAGGCTGGTTAATTTAATTAGATAAATGTAGAAAAAGTGAACATGGATATGCATTTCTTGCTTTCATCGTAAAGTTAAATGATGTTTAGTAATGCTGAGATTATGTAAATCATAATTCAGATTTTATTTTTTTAAATTAAATAAAAAATGCATAACATAAATTAATAATTTAATAACATAAATTTGTACAACATAAAAATAATGAAACAATTTAATAATATTAAATAATGCAACAAACTTATAATAAAAAAAGTACAAATAAAGAAAAAAAATCTTTGAAAATACAACCCGTGGGAAAAGGTATATTAGAAACAGATATTAATAATTTTAGCTTAAGCTTGCTTTAAACTTAAATTGTACTTAAAAAATTAAAGCCAAGTACTGGTTCAGACAACCATATATACGTTGCTAATACTATAATAAACAATTAAACATTATTATATTAAATAATTGTACAAAATCTTAGGCATATAATACATAAATAATACTTATAAATATTGTACATAAAACATAGTTACAAAATGCCTATAAGGCATACCAAGAAGAAGTGACTTTTGCAAATGGCAGATAGTTAAAAGCTTAAATAATCAGTCAAAATAAATATAAACGTATCCTTCACATTCACACGACAAGTAATAAATAATTCAACATCAAGCGGTCACAGAGAAAACATCACGGGAACGAGGTCAATGAACTGGGGCGATCTATTGAGGTTTCTGTGCGGAATATGCCAAGCTTTGCGATTCTATGGAACGTCCCCATCCGCTTGAGTGACCTCCACCGCTACTGTAACCACCCGCATCACCTCCGTAGCCACTTGTACCACCGTAATCATGACTTGATGTATGACTGGATGTATGATGTGGATGAGCGATCACCTCGTAAGTGACATGCTTCTGTTGTGACAATAATTTCTTCAATCCTATCACTGCAGACAAGACTAGCGCCAGTTTTCCAATTAGCAACGCCTTTCCTGCTATCAAAGCGATTGCTCCTATCGCCAAAGGTAGTATAGCCATCATCTTTAACATCACAGCAGCGATCAATGGTCCGAAGATTTTGGCAGCTTTCTTCTTCTTTCCTCTTCCTTCTTCCGTGACCTCATTGTCTTCTGTTAAGTTTGACACTGTATCCT